TTGTAAATACGTTAATTAAGGAAGGTATTCTTGTTCCAATTTTAGCTAATTTACTATTTGTTGTCAATTTTAAAAGTCAGCAAAAACATCTACAACACTAGCACTATTGCTAACGCTTACATTTGCGTTAATGTTAGCGTCGATAGCTTTTTCGTCATCATAATCGTCAGCGTCAGATGTGAGAAAGTCTTGAACATCGTCAGCTCGTTCAATATAGGTATCTGCTAACACGTCAGTCTTTAATGGTAAAGAAGTCGTTCTTCTTATTTTCGGTGTAGCCTTGAAAACATGGTACACTTGTCTTAAAATATAGGGAAACAATGGTCGCTTCTCTTTCTCAAACTCGATGCATTGATTGTAAAGTTTTACGAGTTTTTTAGGTGTATCAGAACGTATTTTTTTGTCGTCGGGTTTTAAACCGCCACGTCCTACATTATATAAAATAAACAGTTTATCGGTTTTATAACCGTACGGTAAATCACGGGCAAATAATTCATACATTACTATACCAAATGCATACACATCAGATTGAAAACTATATGGATAGTCTTCTTTAAACCTTAAAACTTCTGGAGCCATCCAACGAACGGAACCAGCTAACTGGTTCTCTAGCTCTTCTTCTAACTCTTTTTTAGATTTTGTAGTAGTCCTTTTAGTCTTTTTAATCTTGTCATCAGTGCCTACCTTTTTATTCTTTTTACCCTTTTTAATCTCTTCATCCTTTTCATCGTTTTCGTCATTTTCATCCCTTTCATCCCTTTCGTCCTTTTCATCCAGTTCATCTCTTCTATTATTTCTCGGTTGTCGGCTCTTCATTACTGCAAGGCCAAAGTCACCAATCTTCACGTGAAGTCCATTATGAAAAAAAATATTCTTACTTTTTAAATCCCGATGATGAATATTTCGGGCATGTAAATAGTCCATGCCCTCTGAAATTTGTTTAAGAATTATCACAATTGTAATCATTTCTAATTCGTCCTCCGCGACATGCAGACGATGATATAAAGAGTTTCCTTCACACCATTGCGTAATAATTGCTAAATAAGGTTTAACAATACAAGCCATAAATGATAACACATGCATATGCCGAATTTTACGTAAAACGTTCACTTCATTTTTAAACATTTCTATTTCTAGTTCTGTAGGAACTTCAATATTAAGTCTTTTCACGGCCACAGGTCCATACCAATCAGCTTTATACACAGTTCCGTAAGTTCCCTTTCCCTTTTCATCATCGTCTTCATACGTGACTTCTTCCGCTACAATTTTAAAATCTCTTATTGAATCTTGACTGAAAATACTATCTTCAGATTCTGTATCATCAGCACATGAATCATCTTGGTCCTTTGATTTTTGATGTCTTTTGTTTCTTCTAGGATATCGTAAAAATTTTGTTCTTGTAGTGACTTGAGTGGTCTTATCAATTGTGGTTGGTTCAATGTCCTGAGCAGGTTTTTTAATTCGTCTCCTTGAACTAATACTCGGTACGGGTACTGGTGGAATTTGAATAATTCCTGTAGTTGGATTATTAGCCAATAATCTTTCATAATAAGCTGTTCGTCTTCGTATATGTTCACAGAGTAGAGACGCATAACTTACACATTTTGTATGAAATTTTCTATTACATGCTTTGCAGATAAATCCATAAAGAACACTTTTTCCACAAACATAACAGTAACCTAACAAAACTTTGGTACCCGCAAAATTATGAGTCCAAAAAACTGGAACAGGAAATGTTTCCAGATACTCCACGAACACTTCCTTACACGGCAAAGTTGATATGTCTGTATCCCAAGAAATAAAATATGTCATACGTTGCTTAATATAAGCTGCACAGTCATCCAAAATTAATTGCCGACGTTCCATAGCTTTTGATACTGCATTCCTTAAAGTAAGTCCTTCCTTTACCTCTATAGTGGTATATTGACTATTTGGGAGGTGTATCATTAATATAGATATCTTTTTCTTCTTCTTAGCTTCTTCAGCTTTTTTTCTTAATTTCTCCAATTCCTCTATTTTTTCCTGTTTATTTTCAAGTTCTATTTCTATACATTGCAATTCATGTAGTTTATCAGCTCCTTCCTCATATTCTTGTAAATACTCTTTCTCGGGAAATTCTTCATCTAAAACAGATAGCCAGCGATTAACAGCAGTTTTACAACATGTCATAACTTTTCCTATGTTATCTATTTCAAATTTCAACGATTTTTTCTCTTGAATGAGGGATTGATACGAATCCGAATGAATTGCAGTTGATGTTGATGGAACTGATTCTACAATCTGTTGACTGTCCTCGTATCCATTGCACTCGTTCATTCTATCTTTATTTTGGATAGCATCTTGAAGCTCTCTGTGTAACATCGTGGATCGTGACAGTGGATAGCTTGTTGTTGATGTTGACGGGATTGCTATCTCTAGATTGTCAAACTTATCAGGCTCTATCATCATATTTGCTGCTGTCAATGGTACTGTCGATTCTTCAATTTCTAGACTGTTATAAAGTTCATCAGACTCGATCATCTGCATTCTCCTCTTATAAGCCATCTTAAGCTGCTTAGCATACCAGGTCTTTCTTGACATACGCCGTCGAAACTTCCTAGGAGGTTCGCAAATCGTAACTTTCCGTTGTAGCTTTTCATTTGAAAAGAGCTGTTTATCTTCATTGTCATTATCTTGGAAACACCTACACACTCCTCTCAAGAGAGCTCTAAATCGCTCTATTTTGCTCACTGTTCCTCTATATACTAATTTTTTAATTTCCCTTTTTTCTTTTGTTATTGTTTGCTCGTATTGTGCTCTTCACTATACACAGTTGTTGTCTTCTTACACATACGTTGTCACTCTTCTTCGTTATATTTCTTATTGTACCTTGCACGTGTCGTATCAAATTCCTGCAATCATATAACAATATGCAACATATTACATATTTTCTTGTTAACCAAAATACCTATTATCTATAAGTTTTACTATTATCTTTTGCAACCATCACATCACAATTTTTTTCTCTTTTTTTCCCGCTTTTTCTCTCTCACTACTCTCTATATTACTTTATTTATATATAAAATATATAAATAAAATAACATAAACAAAATAACATAAATAAAATAAAATAAAATAAAACATATATATACATTCTTTTATATCTTTCATTTATTTCCTTACCCCTTATCTTTTGCTAAAAATTTGTCAGCAATGTAATCTTTTATTCTTGACAGTCATGCGTTGAGTGGATCGCGCGCGTGTGATGTATAAGCTCAGTCTGATTTCTAAAAGCTCCAAAACCGAACTGTAGCAGGAACAAACGATACGCAGCTTTTAAAGGTCAGTGGTGCGCCGGTGCTGTTCGTGACCTTCGCAATGATTCCCCCTCCTGTCACCTTGACCTCTTCACGTGCCCATACTTCTCCCTCTCCCCATTGCCCTTTCTTTCCACCCTCTCCTTTTCGTCCTTTTTCACCACCGTTGTTGAAAATATTGCGATTAACACACCGAGAATTAGCGAAAACGAAGTAATCACTCGAAAATCGCCAGAATCGTGAAAATTTCCGATCGCGAATATTAACCATCCCGATCGATCGGATAATACATGGCTCCATTCGTACTGCAAAGTTTAATTCCGGAATGAGTCTAGCAAAACGCTTAAAAATTCACGTATTCTGTGATTAATTCTTGGCACAGCCTCGACTATTGTTCCTTCGCAGGTATAACGCTTCGCTGCGAATCTTGACGCGTATCCGCTCGATGAAGCATTTAAATTTAGACGTCGTTACGTCGTCACATCGTTTCATGGCTTTCGAATATCTGCCACACTTGAAAGAGACGAGGCAGTATTGCGTTGCCAGTGCCGATTATCCGATCACTCATTCGATCGGCAACAATCTCGGCACTAAACTGCACTACAAATTCAAGTTCATGAGCAGGTTCAAGTTCAATTTTTCTGTAAACACACTTGCCCGTTCACGTAGCGCGTTCTCTGACGTCACTATAAGTACGCTTTGACGTCAGAAGCTTACGGCACTATCACCGTGACAACGGAAAGTCGATCTCTTATTGGCTGAGCAACCTACGTAAGCCCTCCCGCCCCGTCACGTATACCAGGGCTGACAATTGGAGAACGTTCAAGAACCAGGGACAGCATACCTGGGCAAAATCAATACTTGCTAATATATATACGTTATGTATAAACATATATATGTATATATATATATATATATATATATATGACAATCTCATAATTT